TCTATAGATGGCTTTTGGTAGTATTGACATTTTAACAATAACAATGAGCTATCACTTCACACCTGTTAGAATGGCTATCATCAAAAAGAAAAGAGATAGCAAATGTTAATGTGGATATGGAGAAAAGGAAACTCTTGTGCACTGCTGGTGGGAGTGGTAAATGTAAAACAAAAGCCACTATAAAAAACAGGATGTAAGATCCTCAAATGCTTAAAAATAGAACTATTGTATAATTCAGCAATTCCACTTCTGAAGGTAATGAAAATATTAGTTTGAAAACATATCTGTACCCCCATGTTCATAGCAGTATTATTTACAATAGTCAAGACATGGAAACAACGTAAGAAACCGTCAATAGATGCATGAAGTGTGTGTGTGTGTGTGTGTATTATTCAGCCATTAAAACTGAGGAAATCCGGGGATCCCTGGGTGGCGCAGCGGTTTGGCGCCTGCCTTTGGCCCAGGGCGTGATCCTGGGGATCCGGGATCGAGTCCCACGTCGGGCTCCCGGTGCATGGAGCCTGCTTCTCCCTCTGCCTGTGTCTCTGCCTATCTCTCTCTCTGTGACTATCATAAATAAATAAAAATTTAAAAAAAAAAAAAAAAAAAACTGAGGAAATCCTACCATTTGCAACAACAGGGATGGGGCTTGAAAAAATTATGGTAAGTAAAATAAGTCAGAGAAAGACAAATATTATATGATCTCACTTATGGTGAAATCTAAAAAACAAAAACAAAGAAACAAACAAAAAAACTGAAATAATAGAAAAAGAGCTCAGACCTGTAGTTACCAGAGGTGGTGGTGGAGAGGGTGGTTGGAGGAGGTGGCCAAAAGATGCAAACTTCCAGTTATAAGATAAATAAGTCTAGAGATGAAATGCCCAGCTTGATGATTTTGCATGCTACATTACCTAGCAAAAAGCTTTACATACTATTGTACGATATGTAAGAAAGTTAAGAGAGCAAATCTTGAGTTCTCCATATAGGCAAATAGAGAGTAGCTGAATCTATGGTGGTAATCATTTCATAATATGTGTAAATCTATCAAACTGTACTCCTTAAACTTATACAGTGATGGATATCAGTTATGTCTCAATAATACTGGAAAAAATAAAATTTAAAAACAACCCAACCCATTTTCAGAAATTCAGCTCAAGCGCTATTCCTTTTCAATGAGGGATGTGAGTTTTCATAGAATCCTGCTCTGTTCTTCCATATGTCATATTTGATCACATTCCTGTTTTCTATTTCCCTGACTGCTTTTATCAGTCCAGTGCTTGATACAGGCGAATGGCCCTGACATTTAAAGCAGAAGAGCTTTAATACCATGAACTTGGCCTTCAGAATCACATTTTCCAGCCAGAAATCCCCAACCCAACACATTTTTAAGCTTTAAACCATTGATTTAGAAAATCATAATAGAAAGCAACATTTACTTCTTTAAATCCCACCCTGTTTTCTATTAGTATGAGCTATCTAACACAATCAAAATATATTATTTAGAGAATTATTTAAACACAGACTGATTATGTTTCGATATAATGGAATATACCTTTTCAATTGTGTTAATTCAATACTTGCAAAGATATTCCTCTTTTTTTCAAGCCAATATCAAATTACAATCATTTGCATGTTGTAAGTTCATTAATTTCTTTAGGAATATGCACTTTTTTTGCACATTTTGAATAGTCATTCAATACTCAAAATTAAAGAAATTTCTATTTTTGACGCTTGATTATATTAAATATTATACTCGATTCTATGTGCAACAGTAAATGCTGTTATATTTGCTGTTTAAAAATTATTTAAAGTATCTAATTTTGGAAAAAATATCATGTTCAATAGATAAAATGAATTGCTTTAATTTGCTAAATATATTTTGTTTATTAAGTAATCTATAATTAATTATATCCATCCTTTGTTGAGAAAATACAAATTCCAATGGAGAGAAAATAAATAAAGGAAAGCTTTCTTCCATCTGTCCCATATTACTTCCTATACTGCATAAATGTAAGAGATGTGTCTGATAGAATACAGAATAAACTAAAATGTGTGACTATATTTATTTAGAATTACTGAATGCACTTTAGTATATAGATGAACTAAATTAATTGTGAAAATGCATCTTATTTAGAATTGCTGAATGTATTCAAATAAAACAAAAATCCATTCAAAATCAAAACATGAATTATTTTTTAAATTACACATGCCATCTTTATCCTTTACTGAAAGGAATAAGAATATTTTGCATAGCGTGACATGCAATTTTAAAGTGTTGGACCCTGGCTCACGGGTGCCAACGTGGCCCGGTGGACGCCCCAGAGACTCAGACCCCAGACAGGCAGATGCAATTAGCAAGAGGGTTTATTGAACGTTTGCGCAAACGGGCTCTCCGCCTCCGAGGAGGAAAAGAGCCCCGATTAGCAATTACAGGTGTCTTTTAAAAGGCAAAAGGAAAGAAACTTCCTAAAGACAAAAGAACAGCGGGAGTCGCATGGCATCCAGGTTGATTTTGGGGAGGGTCAACATGAACCTATTCAGGGACATTCCAATCAGGGTGTGGGGGGGGAAACGGTTTTCTTATTGTAAACAGAATGCTTTTAGTTGCTAAAATTTCAGGAAGAAGACTGGATGGGCTGCCTCTGGATTAGGGCTGGCCCTACTTACAAGGGGGAGGTTTCTTCATTCCCTCCTCTTGTTTGGGCTGATTTTAACCTTAAAATCTTAGGGAACATTTATTTTTTCAGTTTGGAGGGCCCGACATTGCTGAGTTAATACCAGAGCTTGGGTAATAGACAATCTTTCTCGGATGAACTGGAGCAGCCGGTAGAGGACGCAGGGGCCGAAAGTTAGCAGCAGGAGCAGGACAACTAGAGGCCCAGAATGGTAGAGATTAGGGTGGTCAACCAGGGAGACTGATTAAACCAGCTTTCAAACCAGCCCTGCTGGGCCTCCCCGTCCCTTTGTCTTTTATTTAACCTTTCCCTGAGTTTGGCCATGGAGTCTCTGATGACTCCAGAATGGTCTGCATAGAAACCGCATTCCTCTCCCAGGGCCGCACACAGTCCTCCCTCTTTCAGGAATAGTCAATCCAAGCCTCTCCTGTTGTGAAGTGCTACTTCTGAAAGTGAGGGGAGGGACTGTTCTAGCTTAGAAACGGACTGCGCTAGTGTCCGTAGATCCTCAGCTACAGCTGTTTGGAGTTCCATATAACGTCGTGAGCCCTGGATCGGAGCAGCTGCGCCAGGACCCACCCCAGCAGCGACCCCTAGTCCCAACATAACGGCTAAGGTTAGGGAGACAGGTTCGCGCCGAAAACGGGTGGGATGTTTATCATACTGATTTTCTAGAGTTTCAGCAGGGTGATAGAACACCCTGGGTATGATCTGCACCATGACACAGAAGTCGTTTGAGATATTTAGAACCTTAGCCGACACACAGGGGGGGAGGCCTTTGTTGCATGCCCACCAAGTTCCGGGCTGGGGCTCCAGGTAAGAATCAGTCCCCAAAATCGGGGTGGTAGTGTTACAGAGTCTCTGGTAGCCCCGGGGGGGTGTTCCTATGCAGGTTCCCTGTCCTGTAACTTCTGTAAGGCTGAGTTGTGGTTGGGAGTCGGGTGTGACATCCTCCCCATGGGTCTAATCCCAGTCGCCCTGGAGGGCTTTCTTGGTTAGGGGCTCTAGAGGTGTCGAAGTATCCCTCTAGGTCCCATGGGCTAGGGGCCCCTATGGTTAGCTTGCATAGGTCAGGATATAGGTCAGGCCACCAGGTTCCCACGGGGGCGGTCTTAGTTATAGACCAGACCTCGTCACCCCCAGACGTTAGTACCTGCCAGGTTAACCTTTTGAGGGCATGAGGGTCACCTCTGGCGGAGGTGAAGAGCGCTAGGAGAGGTAGGAATATTACAACTGTCATTGAACAATTTTTGAAAGTCTTATCTTGAGCGGGTTTTGGGTGCGGTGGAGCTTCCATTGGAGTGGCTCGTCCGGTCCGTCCTGGCTGGCGTCAGCGGTGCTCGTTGATGGGGCGCGCTTGATGTGTGAGGCGTGGACCCAAGCAGCAATGCCGTCTACCTTTAAGGCGGTTGGGGTGGTCAGTAGGACAGTATATGGGCCCTTCCAGCGGGGCTCAAGCGTCCTGGACTGATGTCTCCTGACGTAGACGGAGTCACGGATCTGGAACGGGTGTGGGCCGGTTGTGTCTCCGGGGCGGTAGACAGCCGCAAGGGGTTTCCAGATCTGGTGCTGGATAATCTGGAGCGCCTTTAGCCTGTCCTGTAAACCGGGAGTGTTAGCAAGAGGGTCAAGAGCAGAATCTAGTAAGTCCGTTACTGGTGGGGGACCTCCATAGAGAATCTCGTAAGGAGTTAGCCCATGGCGCGCGGGAGTGTTCCGGACTCGGAACAGAACCATAGGGAGGAGTTGGACCCAGTCTCTAGTGCCAGTCTCCAATGTCAATTTAGTTAGGGTCTCTTTAATTGTTCTATTCATTCTTTCTACCTGACCTGAGCTCTGGGGTCTGTATGCACAATGTAATTTCCAATTTATCCCCAGTAATCTGGCCACCAACTGACTTACCTGGGAGACGAAGGCGGGGCCGTTGTCCGACCCTATTACCTTGGGCAGTCCAAACCGGGAGAAAATTTCCTCCAGGATTTTCTTGACAACCACCTGGGCGGTTTCTCGCTTGGTGGGGAAAGCTTCTGTCCAGCCATTTCGTAGAAAGCTACTCCCATCGGTGTACCAGGTTGCTTCAGCATCTGGCAAAGGCTGGTCCGTCAAGTCCCCTCTGGTGCCATGGACTTCAGCTAGGATCTGGTGGCAATCATGCATTACTAGGGAGGGGGACTCGGTTTCTGGAAGCAAGGTGGCCGGGTTTAGAGATGTAGCCGTTCCAAACTGTATCCGCTCAGAATTCAGTAACATGGCCTGATAATGGGTGACCCGGGCGTTTGAGAGCCATCGATCAGGGGGCTGGCGGATGACTGTCTCTACGGCGTGGGGGGCCACCACAGTGAGGGGTTGGCCAAAAGTCAACTTGTCTGAGTCTTTTACCAGGACTGCCATAGCCGCTATTATCCGGAGACATGGGGGCCATCCTGCAGCCACGCTGTCTAATTTTTTTGAAAAGTATGCCACGGGCCTTTTCCAGGGTCCCAGTTTTTGAGTTAGGACCCCTTTGGCTATTCCATTATGTTCATCAACATATAGCGTAAAAGGCTTGGTTACATCTGGGAGGCTCAGGGCAGGGGCGGTCAATAAGGCCCTTTTTATTTTGTCAAAAGCCAATTGCTGCTCCTTTCCCCAGTGGTAGGGGGTGTTGGATTTCGTGAGAGGATATAGGGGAGCCGCCATCTCCGCAAACCCGGGTATCCGGAGGCGGCAGAACCCAGCACTGCCGAGGAACTCTCGTAGTCCTTTGGCATTAGTGGGTGCTGGGATCAGGGCTACAGCCTTTTTGCGGCTCTCCGTCAGCCACCTCTGGCCTCCTTCCAGGAGATATCCCAGATAGGTCACTTCTCTCTGGCCTACTTGGGCCTTTTTGGCGGAGGCTCTATACCCCAGTTCTCCCAGTCTCTCAAGCAGGGCCCCCGTACCTTTTACACAATCCTGTTCTGTCCTAGCCGCCAGGAGCAAATCATCCACGTACTGCAGAAGGACGAGGTCCGGATGGCCAACTCGGAAATCTGCCAAATCCCGATGCAAGGCCTCATCGAACAAAGTAGGGGAGTTTTTGAATCCCTGCGGCAGCCTTGTCCAAGTGAGTTGTCCTGAGAATCCCGTCTCAGGATCTTTCCATTCAAAAGCAAAAATAGGCTGGCTTTGAGAGCTTAACCTCAGGCAGAAGAATGCATCTTTTACATCTAACACCATATACCAGACATGGCTTGGGGGTAAGGTGCTGAGCAAGTTGTAGGGATTCGGCACCGTGGGATGTATGTCCTCTGTCCTCCAGTTAACCTCTCGTAAATCTTGTACCGGCCGGTAATCTCCTGTGCCGGGTTTTTTTACGGGTAATAGAGGAGTATTCCAGGGCGACTGGCAAGGTATTAAAATGCCCAATTGTAATAGTCTCTGTATACGTGGCCGAATGCCTTCTTTGGCCTCTTTGCTCATTGAATATTGCCGGATTGATATGGGGGTGGCCGAGGGTTTTAAGTTTATAATTATGGGCGGCTGGTTTACAGCTAGTCCCATTCCGGCCGTTTCCACCCAGGCCTGAGGGTAGTTAGTGAGCCATTCAGAATCTAGGGGCTGCACGGCCGGTGGAGAGTCCTCGTGCAGCCGGTGTTCATCCTCTAGGCGCAAGGTCAGTACCTGGAGGGGCTGCCCTCCCGCGCCAGTAATAGTGGCCCCTTTTTGCTGAAAATGTATCTGGGCCCCTACTTTTGAAAGAAGGTCTCTGCCTAGGAGAGGGTAAGGGCAGTCTGGGACCAGTAAGAAGGAATGCGTTACTTGCCCAGTGCTCAGGTGGACCTTCCGTTCGGTTGTCCATCGATATAACTTGCCTCCAGTTGCCCCCTGAACCCAAGACGTTTTAGAGCTCAAGGGTCCTTTTGCCTCAGTTAAAACTGAATGTTGAGCTCCCGTATCGACCAGGAAGGTCACCGGCTGTCCCCCCACTTTAAGGGTTATCCGAGGCTCGGGGGGGGGGTTCCTGGCCCTGACACCCCTAATCTTCATCTTCTAGGGACAAAACAGGAATGGGCTTCTTTTTAGGTCCCTGCGTTTGGCCCTTCCTTGGGCAATCTTTAACCCAATGTCCTTTTTCCTTGCAGTAGGCACACTGGTCTCGTTCAACCCGTGGTCCTCTTTTGTCTCCCAGGTCCCTACTCTGTCCTGACTTACTCTGCCCTGAGCCCTGTACTACGGTGGCCAGTATAGCCTTCTATTAACCTCTGCAGAAAACCTGCCGGCGTCTCATCTTTTCCCTGCACTATAGCACGTACCTTTGCCAAATTGGTGGGGCGACGCCCTGCCCCTTTGAGACCCGCTAGGAGTACCTGGCGATAGAGACGGAGCCGCTCCCTACCAGCAACAGTGTCGTAGTCCCAGGTCGGGCGAACCAAGGGGAAAACATCCTCAATTTCATTAGGCAGCTGGGTGGGCCTCCCATCCGCCCCCGGGACGTGCTGTCTCTCCTCCGTGGTGAGGAGAGTCTGCAGGAGCTGTTGGCGGTCATCCTAGGTCGGCTGGTGGAGGTGTCCATTGGGTCCTGGCTGGAAGACTAGGGCCTTCACCTGCAAGATAATGTCAATATTATCCTGGGCCACCCGACGTTGAAAGCCGGCCACTCTGAGGAGCAGAAGGTGACCCATCTTCGTCTTCTGACTTCGACCGAGAGATTGTGTGCCCGGCCGGCGACTTCTTTCCAGTGATCTAGAGTGAGGCTTAAAGGGGTGGTTACAGTCTGCCCCATGGGTGTAGAGAAGGGGTGAGCGGTGAGGAGGAGGACAGGAAAGGAAGAAAAACACGGAACGAACAGACGCACACGAACGACAGGACTGGCGCGGCAGATTCAGATGGGAGCGGTCGCGAACCACGACCCTCCCCGAAGAGGAGGGAGTGCCGGGGCTCCGTTCCTCTTCCAGACCACTCCGGAGTCCGACTCCGGAGGGGGACCAGGGGTCTCGGGCACGTCTGCCTCCCCCGCTGGTCCAAATACAGAATACAGAGTACAGCGTCCTGCAGGCACAATACAGACCCGGCACAAAACAGACCCGGCCAGTCAGACAAACGGACGAGACAGATATGACATTTAGCGAGCTCGGTCTTACCTCCTACCGGTCTTAGGATTGAGTCTGGGGCGTCTCAGATCCCGGACGAGCCCCCAAATGTTGGACCCTGGCTCACGGGTGCCAACGTGGCCCGGTGGACGCCCCAGAGACTCAGACCCCAGACAGGCAGATGCAATTAGCAAGAGGGTTTATTGAACGTTTGCGCAAACGGGCTCTCCGCCTCCGAGGAGGAAAAGAGCCCCGATTAGCAATTACAGGTGTCTTTTAAAAGGCAAAAGGAAAGAAACTTCCTAAAGACAAAAGAACAGCGGGAGTCGCATGGCATCCAGGTTGATTTTGGGGAGGGTATTAACCTCTGCAGAAAACCTGCCGGCGTCTCATCTTTTCCCTGCACTATAGCACGTACCTTTGCCAAATTGGTGGGGCGACGCCTGCCCCTTTGAGACCCGCTCGGAGTACCTGGCGATAGAGACAGAGCCGCTCCCTACCAGCAACAGTGTCGTAGTCCCAGGTCGGGCGAACCAAGGGGAAAACATCCTCAATCTCATTAGGCAGCCGGGTCGGCCTCCCATCGCCCCCGGACGTTTTTGCGAGCTTCGAGGTAGACGCGCTGTCTCCTCCGTGGGAGGAGAGTCTGCGGGAGCTGTTGGCAGCCATCCCAGGTCGGCTGCAAGATAATGTCAATATTAAAAGCTCCGTTCCTGGGCCACCCGACGTTGAAAGCCGGCCACTCCGAGGAGCAGAAGGTGACCCATCTTCGTCTTCTGACTTCGACCGAAAGATTGTGTGCCCGGCCGGCGACTTCTTTCCAGTGATCTAGAGTGAGGCTTGAAGGGGTGGTTACAGTCTGCCCCAGGGGGGTAGAGAAGGGGTGAGCGGTGAGGAGGAGGACAGGAAAGGAAGAGAAACACGGAACGAACAGACGCACACGAACGACAGGACTGGCGCGGCAGATTCAGACGGGAGCGGTCGCGAACCACGACCCTCCCCGAAGAGGAGGGAGTGCCGGGGCTCCGTTCCTCTTCCAGACCACTCCGGAGTCCGACTGCGGAGGGGGACCAGGGGTCTCGGGCACGTCTGCCTCCCCCGCTGGTCCAAACACAGAATACAGAGTACAGCGTCCTGCAGGCACAATACAGACCCGGCACAACACAGACCCGGCCAGGCAGACAAACGGACGAGACAGATATGACATTTAGCGAGCTCGGTCTTACCTCCTACCGGTCTTAGGATTCAGTCTGGGGCGTCTCAGATCCCGGACGAGCCCCCAA